GTTTTGTGTGGAAGTATTTTGAAAAAGTGAAAGATTCAAATGGAAATGAATTCGTAATTTGCAAATTAAAAAAAAAATATTATTATTATTATTATAAAAAAAAATTTTAGTCTACTAAAGAAATTTTTGACCAACTAGTAGTCGACTAAGGATTTTTTGGGCGATTCCAACCTCTAGGCGAGAAACTACCTTTAGTCAATGCTTTAGTTACAGCGATGACTAAAGTCAAAAGTTTTGTTATACATCATTACAGCCTTCACAGAATCTATCAGAGTATTTTGTTGATTTGCACTTTTTACATTCTTTTTGTTTGCCCAATTCATTTTTTGCATTATCCAATTCAAAATCATAAATAACCTTTTCTTTATAATAACCTTTTTCATTTTCAAAAGTTCCTTGATTTTTTTTATTAATGAAAAAAAAAAATCTTTTCTGCTTTCTCTATTAGAATTAGCCACTGCGCTATTATTATACATTTCATTATTTCCTTTCTTTCTCATGATAATGATGGTAATAATTTAATATATGACATTTTTAACTTTACTTAATACCTTTATAAATTTATTGTGGAAAGTGATTAAAAAATGGGGTCGCTGCACCCCGATCTAACAGCTCGTCTATAACTGTGATCATGGCCGTCAGTCTATGGTGGATTAAGTGGGAACCAACTTGCCACTACACTCGTAAAAGATTTGCTACATCCAGTCAAATATAAACTACTATTGCTGTAGCAATCCCTGATGCTTCGATAAAAGAATCACTTGCTTGTTTATAACTGCGAGCACGACCACCAATCTGTGGTGGGAAACCAATTTGACAAGTAATTTTCTCTAACAGCAACAAAAAAGGAACATTTTTCAATCTTTTTTGTAACTTTCAGATTATCAAGTAACTATTATACAATGAAAAGTTTAATATTAAAACAAGAATGCCTATTATTATCACGGTATCGTGTTCTCCTTTCTCATACTAATAAATTGAAAAAAATAAAAATTGCATTATTTAAAGACAAATTCTAGTGATTCAATAATGAAAAAATTTTAGCATTCTTTTTTTCTTTGTTTCTATTTTTATCGCTTTTAAAAACTTTAAAACTTACAAAAATCTTTATCTAAACCTGTCCCAGGTAATATGTAAAAGTCACAATATTGGCTAATCTCGATGTGTTCCAAACTCGGAAACTGAAGGCAGCTCAAGCACGTTTTTATTTTATTAATAATATTATTGTGTACATCAAAATCAAAAATCGAAGTTAATACAATGTAAATTGTGTGCCAAGCACTAAAGACAATTCGAACGTATTTTGTTTTTTTTTCATTTTATGAAACGTAGTTTGCTGTAATAAAATATTAATTTGATTGATCGGGCGAATTAGATAGATAACTTATGTTCTAATTTGACATCAACAGCTTCTTTCTTCTCTTTGAGCAAAGACCAAGATAATAAAATTGAGTTTTTTATTTAATTGATTTTTTTATTATTTTGTTACGATCAATAAAATAACGATCATAAACTAAAACAACAAGGAGAGAAAGTTGACAAAGAAATTAAAGTCTTGGATGAAAAGATAGCCCAAGGGATAGTAGAACAAAATGCCAAGCCAAAGAATAAAAAAGCCTTAAACAAGTAATATAAGTGGATTGGAAATTTTCAATTATTAAAAACTCATTTGATCTACATATTTATGTGGTATAAAGACACGTAATTCACCGTATGGATTTATTGTGAATAAGTATCTTCAATTGACTTGTTGTTTAAAATTGTTAATCAATTCACGCGCTGTTTACTTATGAGTTGAACAATCAGAACAAATACTTTTTTATCCATTAAAAAAATGAGATCGCATAAATTAATATTATTTTTTTTGTCTTATTGTCGTTGTCGTCGTCGCCATTGTCCTATACCTTTATTATCATTCTAATAAAATATATTTGATTGATTCTGAGTGATCATCTTGGTCATTAGAAAGGATTCCTATATTGTTATCATCATCATGTTTCATTGAATCAATGATCAACAGCTTCGAAATAAAATTAGTGCAGGAAATACAAAGTTTAATCCAGATGTTTATATGTAAGTTATTATTATAATTTTTTCATTAGTAAAAATCATTAAATGTTTTTGATTTTTTTTTGAATTTTATGCAAGTTGATGAGTTTATACATTTGATAAAATATAAAACTAAACAGTTGTTGAAATTAAAATCACAGAAGTAATGAATGATAACAGAAGAAAAAGAAGATGATGCTGATATCAATGAAACTTTGAATTACAGAGCAATCATGAGAAACAATGTACAAATAGCAATGCTATTTTTTTATTTTTTAGTTTACAAATAACATATTATTAATAAATATTTCTGTTATTATTAAATTAGATCTTATTGATGACGTTGGATCAATATATAGATTTAATATTTCCATATAGTTATAAACATAGTTAATGAAAGAGAAAATGATGTGGGATCAGTTTGGACTATTGGAAAAATAAGCCCAACAATATGATATAATAAATTACATGAATTGAATGAATAAATAAATACAGGAATAAATAACATCAATTATACAATAATAAATAAAAAATGATTACATAAAAATGTGGATTATTGCAGATCAATTAAAGCACTACGTTCATTATCAGCATCATTGGCACCACCACTGCCACTACTATCAGCATTCATTTCATTTCTTTTATATTCAGGAGGAATTTTTTCAGCGAGTAAACTAGTACAAAATTTACATTTGATAGCACCTTTCGGTAATTCAGATTGACACCATTGACACTCTTCGGTAGATTCTTTCTTTTGACGTTTCCTAGATTCTTGGATACTATGATAAACTAAAAAAATGACAATGATATTTAATAATTATTGGGTGAATTTAATATTTACATATATATATTTGCATTAAAACAAAAAAAATTATACTTACCATAAAATATCCAAAATAATGTGATACAGATTAAAAAGAAATTGATGATGGTACTTATAAACATACCAACATTTTCAGTTCTATATAAAATCAAAGAAGAAAATAATTTAATCATATAATTATAGTATCAGTGATTGGTTTCATTAATGTTGTTATTAGTTACTTACACTGCGCCATCAGCTTGGGCTTCAGCAACTGTGTTATATTTGGCATTCGGTGTATTACCTGGTCTTATAACAATAAAAAAATTTTCAAGATTTGAACCTAAAAATTTATATTAATTTTTACATTAATTTTTTTCATTATATTAATTAATTTTTAATAATAATAATAATAATAATAATAATAATAATAATAATAATAATAGTTACCATGAAGTACTAAACCAAGTGGTGGTGTTAAAATATCCATCTAACAAAAAAAAACTTATTATTTTATTATTATTGCATTTTGATTTCTTTTTTTCTTCTTCTTCTCAACTTACCACAAAAGAAGTCACAACATTGGTGAAAGCACCACCAACAATTATACCTATTATCGTCATCAACACAAAAAATATATCTTTAATTCCTTGCTTTTTTTTATCATTATTTTATTTTTTATTTTATTTTTTCGATTTTTTTTACTTACCGATACCCAAATCCACCACATTTCCGCCTTTTTCATGAACAAATTCTTTAAATTTTTTCCAAACCCCGATACACATTTTTTTAAATAATTATTAGTTTTGCAAGAAAAAATTAGTTTACAAATAAATGAGAAAGAAATATTTTTAAATTATTATTTTTTTCCACCAAAAACTTATTATTATCAAATTTTAATTGACGATGTCATGTTACATAATAATAATAAATTTGAGATTATCTTTATTTTGTTGATGATAACGATTTATGATCAACAACAATATTGTTCTATTATTTATTTATAACTATTGTTAGTTACACCATTGATATAAGGAGTATTGGGGGTGGAAGTGGTTGCAAGCATTAACCTTTTCTTCATTTCCCCACAGCAGTAGTGAGAGAAGAGGCAGCAGTATCAATATTATGTCGCCTTCGTCATCATCATTTCCGATCTTTTAATTATTCCTCCTATAGTTCTGAAGGCTCCATATATCATACCCTGACGAGCCAAAGAATTTTTTTTTTAGGTTGCTTACAATTAAAAAATTAAATCAAAATAATAAACATAATAATAATAATAATTTATTAATTAAACCTTTTATAATTGGTATTTCTCGCACTTTTATAAATTTAAAATATTAATATGTATCATTTTTCAGATATCTTCCGAGATACACACCAAATCGTTTTACTATTGATTCGTTTTTTTTTTTTTTTTTTTTTTGAAAAAATTTCATAAAACCGAGAATTATTGCAGCGTGCATAGATATTATAACGGAAATTACGCATGAATACCAATACGGAATTAGTGCTTCATCATCACAGAAAATCATTGTCCCTGGACAAGTGAACGTTATGTCACCAAGTAATTTATTTGGAAAATCAAGATAAAGGTTTATTTTTCTCTTCGGTTCTGTTTCTACTTTCTTAAATGATATATAGGATTATCTCCACGTAAAAATATAATATGAAATTAATTTATATCAAATCCATCATGGAACCCAAAAATTACAGCACTATTAGAAGGTGAGAAATAGCACCTTATGTATTTAAATTAAATGATACTCGATACTGGTGAATTATCTGAGAAAAGAAAGAAATTAGGACAAATAAAATAATATGGTTTAATTATTGAAGGTAAAATAATATCTATCTTTTCTTTTTAATCCTTTTAACAATATAAATAATGACAGCTATGACAACAAATACTAAGTCATACCCGTTTAATCATAATCAAATAGACTTACCATCAACATTTTCTTCTCCCTTCACATGTGCGCAAAAATTCTTTAACCGGTTAATTTAATCACGTGAAAATTTTAACGAGTTATTCGAATAATATAACAGCATATTAATATTAATATGCACCATCATTTTTCCTTCGTAGTAGTGATAATAATAATAATGATGGTAGTAGCTAATGATGTATGACAAAACTTTTGATTTTAGTCATCGACGCAACTAAAGTATTGGTTGATTAAAGGTAGTTTCACCAGGGCATTTTGACGATTTGGCTAGAGTAAAAACCCTTGATGCAAATAAAAACACTTGACGTAATTAAAAACACTTGATGTAAGCAAAAACACTTGATACAAGTAAAGCCACTTGGTTAAATTATTATGAAACAACTTATTAAAAAATAAAAAAAGCCACTTCTTTTTTACAAACTAGTGGTTATCATCAATATAGATATCAAAATTGAGAATAAATTTGTATTATTGATTTTTGCAAACTCTAAATTTTCAAATTTGCTTGTTGAAATAAATCAAAGGTTTTGGCTATTTTTTCTCTTTTTGGTCCAACCTCTTTTAATGCTGTCAGTGATGGCATCTGTTTTACCTTTCTGAGTACCACCAATAATAATTGGCTCACTAATTAAGTCTTTTTTAATTTCTTTAAAGATTTCAGGAATCCTAATTTTCAATAATTGAATTCAGCAAAAGGTCCACTAACAACCTCTTGAGTTTTGACAACACACACCACGTTTGATGCCCAAGTATTGGAAGTCTTTCCACCTTCATAACATTGAGTTGTATTCAATACAGCAGTACCATATCTTTTCACCACATCCATAACATGATCCACACAAACTACACTTGTTTTTCTACAGAGTTTTTAATTACTCCAAAGTTACCATCAAGATGAAATAAATCAAAAATATATAACAATATTTTTAGTAATGTTATAAATTTTAACAATACAACAGTTATATAACAGTCATACGTAGCAAAGTATAAAAATGGAAAGATCTGTGAATCTAAAAATTCAAAAAAACCAAATTATTCATCAAAATCATCATATACATCCCAATATTCATTCCCAATTTCACTTTCATCATTCCATTTTCATTTCCTCAATCAATATTTACATCTCAAATTATATTATGATTTGTGGCTTTGTCATTCAAACAAAAATTTGAATATATGTAAACTAACTTAAACTCTGTTGTCAGGTAGTCTATGAACAAAGCCAAAATGGCTCCAATTTCTTTCTGCTCCTGCTAACAAAGCAGGAATTGACATAAGTTTAGCAGCAAGTTCAGAAAGCACTGGCATCTCATGACCACTACATAGTAGGATCCTTTATGGTTTCATCTGACCATAATACATTTAAGCACACCTGATTTGCTTTGGTATTCCAGCATTTAAAGGTGGGTGTGAGAAGAAAATTTTTTGTAAAAAATTCTATTACAATTAATATGTGCTATATTGATCATTTGTTATAAATCTGTTATAAAAAACCATAAATGTTATAATATAACATTCAAATCTCTACTTGATACCATAAGAAAAAAGATTTATTTGGTTGTTTATTCATTAAATTATAAGTGCGATATAATGCTATAATAGCAGTTATTAGAATTTAAAAGTAACAACCTAACCAAAGAATATCTCAAATATCTCAAAATATAAATTCTGATCATTATTTCCTTCAAAGGATGACAATTAATTAATAAAGGTATTTTTTCACACAGGAAAACATGGGAAATAATATTACAAGTTAGAGGGGAAATGAATAATTAATGAACGTAGAGCGTATATTCTAACTAGATAACTTCAACTCTTAATTCCCTGACTAAAGATTTCTCTTTTACTTTAAATTTAAAAATGATGTAAATTAAATTATCTAATCATCATTATAGGAAAATCGATGATAGACTTGGTCACGAGCCTTGTCACAGTGACACAGTAATAATTGCTACAATAATAATAGTAAGTAAAATTATGGTGTTAATCGTATCATATCATATGGAATAAAAGATAATAATAAATCTTTGACTAAAAAATTTTTAAAGATTTGTAATTTTAATTTGATGGATTGATATATTTGATCCCAGCAAAAAAAAAAAGAAAAGATATACTTCTTGCAAAGCATTGATAGCAAGAGATTGAAAACGAAAGTCCAGTCTACAAATTTGTTTTGGAAAGGTAATTTCCGGAACAAAGACCCAGAGTTGGCGAATTTCACGCAATGCTACTAGACCAGTCTACAACATGGGCTTTCTGGAACTATCACGAATAACTTCTGTTATTTTGTTTAATAAGAATGAAAAGGTAAATCATCTACTTATTGTATATCAGGATCTTTTTGCCAGAAAAGGTCTACCTTGATTATTAAGAGGATTCAGATAAAAATCATCTGATCAAAGTAGTCCGTCTGTGTGAAAGTTCTTGTCATAGTTCATTGTTTTAGGGGGAAAAGTGATTATGGCAATAATTACGGATTCTTATCAATAAACGTAAAATGACTATATATTAATATGCCATTTGACTTGAAGAGTTCAAATAGTTACGGAAAGTTAATTATGGCAATATTATTCGTTTAGAATATTCAATTGAATTTATATTTTTCCAATACAGTATTGTTGTTTATAACATCTCAACACTGACTGGTTCAGTCCAAACCGGCTGAACAGCGGTTTGGTTTTGCGCATTTCAAGTCGTGCGTGGTTTAATCAGTTTGTTACACTAAAAATTTGTAACAGAAGAATTCAATATAATAATTGAATCCATACCATAAGTAGCTCTAGGTTTTGATAAACATGTGTAAATTGAATGCGGGTAATAATAATTTAATAACTACAATTGTTATCTATAATTGTGCGAGAATACTTGATTTTTTTTAATGTGTATTTTTGAGTAATTAATATCAATTTCTAAACTTTATCCAGTAAACACAATAAACTGTATTATTATGACAATAAAATTATTTCAAATTTATTACTTATGGCAATAGAAACATTAAATTTTACAAACAAATCGGAATGCATTGATATTAAAGTTTATACCATACGTAGCTTAGTATTAGGCTTCGATAAAAATATTCATGTGTAGAAGAACTATCATTAAAGCTATTCCCTATCTGACAAGAATTTTAAAGTTTGTATTTGTTGTTGTTATTGGGCGTCCTCATAAACAATCTTTAATATGGTTAAATTTAGAAATAAATAATCTAAATTACGCCATTGTTGAGAAAAAAAGATTTTAAACACAATGATGAGATCTTCAACACACATATATATTAAGTGTAAAAAAAAAATAAGGGGCGTTTTTAAATTCTGTTATATAAATCATCCAAATTTCCCACTGTTGTAAAAAAAAAAAAATCGATAAAATTGAAATGAAAATAAATTTCATAAAAACAAAAGAAAATTAAATCGATTAATCATTTTAATAAATCAATAATAATTATTATGTTCCTTCTAACGAACAATCGGGATCCTATAAATATTACCAACAATATGTTCCATCAGAATTCAATAATTTGGATGCACAAAATAATTGGTCTTTAACAATTTGACTAAAGATCAACTAATTTTTATAGCAGTTCAGCTTCTAACAACAGCATCTGACAACATTAGAAACAGCAATAACGATATTATTTATTATCGCATTACCTGAAATTTTCATAATGTTCGATTATTAATTTATTATTAATTCTATTAATTTATTAATTTTTTGTTTATTAATTATATTGTTTGTTTATTATTAATTCATTAATTGTATTTTCATCATCATTATTATTTTATTAATTGTATGTTCATTAATTATATATATAATAAATTTAAAAGTTAAATAATAATTAATTTGGTTTTTTCTTTTTTCCTGACCGACCAAAAAGGCCATGGTTTAACTAATATGGAAAAAAATCCCCCCAGAATTACAACAATTTTATTGATTGTATTAGTATACCAATCCAATAGCCAGGTCAATTTGGACTTTGGCCAAGTTTGGACAGGCTCGTGTGTTATTAACATTTATTACGGTTGATGTTGTAAATACTTTATTAAAATTAAAAAGCGAGCCCCTATCCAGACATTTTATACAATTCTCAAGAAATGGATTTAAAGCTTTCCATGGTCGTATCCTTTGATACATGTTAAAGCAAGATTTGGACCAAATTCTCAACTTTCATTTTGATGTTCTGGAATAATTAAAGTAGATTTGAAATCTTATTGTCAAACAAAAATTCTTCCAAGACCAGAAATTCCATTAATGAATATTTCGGAACAATTCAAATATCAATCAAGAAGAATTTCCAGCCAAAGATGGTTATGAGAATAATTTACGCCTTCATATTATTTGTAGAGATGGTAGTGGTAATGATTTGGTAATTCAAGGCTGCATTCTTGACATAAGCAAGCAAAGAAGTGGTAGACCCAAATTGCTTGGCGATAATGAAAAAATACTTTGAAAAAATTTGTTTCTAATAATGATAGAGCTCTATTTACGATATAAAAATTATCTTAATAAATCCGCTGGCTTGTTAAAAAAAAAAAGTCAAAGTTTTTTCTTCGTAATGTCAAATCTACAAAGACACTGATTGTATGATTTACATTATTTAATTGATTATTTTTTATTTAAAATCTTTCATCGTCATCCGAGCCTAGTATTGAACCACTGTAGTAATTAAAATTATTATAATTGGTTACTTTCAAAAATAGAGTTGATTTTGCAGTTTCGATAAGGCAAATGGATTTTCATTAATTAATAAAATTTATTGTCTAAATTCGTATCAAAACCACTTAATCAACAACTTAAATAGTGCTCCGATAAACGGAACTGGACCATAAGACTATGGCGCGAAGATGGAACTCGCTTTAAATTTTCATTTGACATTTAAAACTTTATATGATAATTCAAAAATATCATAAAAATCATTATTTTTTTAAAAAGGACTTTCTTGGTAAATTTAATTTACGATTGTGTGATGCCTTATATTAATATTAAGCGCTTAAAATCGTAAAATATTCAAAGTTTCATACTATATTTTTTATAAAAGCATTCAAAGCCTAATCAATTGATATCTTTTATATGTTTCATTATCATCAAATAATTAATTATACACTTCCTGAACAATAGTATCTTTTTACATCTAGAAATTTTTATATAAAAAAAAAATTGAAATTAAAATAAAAAAAAGTAATGAATCTAATATTTAGTTGGCCATCCATTGCTAGAAATACACAACTCGATTCTTCTAGGCATGCTTTCTATTAATTTATGGTAAGTGTCGTATGGAATCCTTGACCACTCTTCTTGTAAAGCAACTTCCAACTCGTTAGCATTTTTCGGATATGGTATGCGCTTACTTAATCGCCTTTTTAATTCGCTCCAAAGGTGTTCAATTGGGTTAAGATCTGGAGATTGCGAGGGCCAGTCAAGTAAAGTCGTAATGTTTTTTTCCTCGATCCAATTTTTAACATCGCGTGCTGTGTGTACAGGCGCATTATCATGTTGAAATGCATAACCTCTATCATCAAATTTGTCTTTAATATAGGGCAACATATTATTCTCTAGAACTTCTATATAATCATGTCGACTCATCTTGCCTTTAATCCTAACCAATGGCCCCAAACCCTTTTCAGAAAAACACCCCCAAAACATTATTCTGCCATTATCACGTTTGATCGACGGTCTAATGTTTTCAATATTGTAACGCTGACCATTTTCACGCCAAACACGGCGGGGATTATTTCTATATAATGTAAAATAAGACTCGTCACTCCATATTACCCTTCCCCATCGAGCAACGCTCCACCTTTTCTTATGTAGACACCATTTCAATCGATTTGCTCGCTGTTTTTCTGTCAAAAGTGGTTTCGTAGCAGCAATTCTGGAGAAAAGCTTAAGATCGTGCAAATTCCTACGAAATGTTTGAATAGAAGCCACAACACCGTATCTTTCAGCAAATTCTTTTTGAATCATATTTAATGTAATGCGATTATTTTTTTTTAGAAGTTTCTTTAAATTTTTTTGGTCGTGCTTGCTTAATGCTTTTGGCCTACCACTTCTTGGTGCGCTATTAACATTTCCTCTATTTTTATAACGAGAAATAGTGCCTTGAACTGTACTTTTTGGGATTTTAAGATTTTCGGAGATATATCGAACACTTTTGCTAATCTCATGTAGACCGATAATTTTTCCCCGTATAAATTCTGACAATTCTTTGCGTTTTGGCATTTTTAAAACTTAAAAAGTTTTTATTTTTGTAAAAATGATTTCTATTGCAATTTTTTAAAATTATCTACACGAGATAAAATTATGAAAACCTATACAACAAGATGATATAATGTAGAATTTGGAACAATTAAAAAAATATCGAATTTCAGGTTTTTTTTTTAATTTAAAAATTTCTAAAATTACTAGGTTTTATATGCGTAATTATCAAAACTTAAATTACATTATCGATATAAAGCTTATTACCTAGAATTAGTGACAATGATAGATACTTTGGTCCAAGGAATGTATTTTCCTTTAAAAAAATATATTAATATATGAAAGGAAAAAGCACCTAATTCCGAGGATACAATTCCCGAATGAGGTGATACTAATACTAATAGGAAAAAAAATTCCGCGCATATTAATATGTTGTGGAATCGGCTTCATGCGCCCCGAGTTTTAAAATTAGCCAATCAAAAAAAGGACCTTGCACCCCAAACGCCCCATATTTAGTTTCATGGTTAAATTGAAGCAATTCCGATTCCTGGTACAACATTTACAACCAATAAACTATCAATGGGGCAACCAAGTGATTGTGTTGTGTAATATGACATCCAGCAATAGGGAATATCATATTAAGCCCTCCCCCAGAAACAACTGCAAAATTTTGCCGATCGTTAGTATAATTTTGTGGCGATAATAAGCAATATAATTTTTAGAATATGACCGTCCATCACGTGATTAAGCATGATTACGCGCGACATAAAAATTTAAAATTTAAAATTTTCAAAGTAACCAAACATCTATTTATATTTCTTTTTTTTTTTTTGAATAAAACTAATTACAAACGCTTATTTATATTTTTTTTCTTGAATAAATAATTAAATATTATACTTGAATCTTAAGTTTTATATAGCAATTTTAGGCAAGAATCCAACGGTCCCTCCATATAAAGATAAAATATTTTATAAGAAAGTCCCTTTGAAAATTTGTATATTAAAACTTTGGGTTTCTTATTATTTATTACATTTACAAATACAATTTATAAATTCGTGTAAATAGTAGTTTTTTAGGAATGAAGGAAAATTTCAATTAGTGATCTGCGAAAATTTGCGCCAAATGCTATTATAATTGTAGTTGTTTCACGTATCACGAATTTTAAGAGAATTATTGAAAAAATGCAAGAATTAATTGCAATATTTTGGTCAGGTGAATAAGAATTGCAAACAATGGATGCTGTCACAAGTGAAAAGAGTGTTTTTTTCGGGAGAAGAAGCTTGTTTTCCCTTTGGATCTCCTTTTAACAATGTAGTATTGATCTCATTCCTGTGCCTGATTGATTCAAAAGTGGAAACTGTGCAATCTTTTTGGCTTTCTTTGCTTGAATAGGGATATAATAGATAGATGCTTTGAAGAGTAAATTTTCACCCATAGAACTTATTATTGTACATTAATATTCATAGGAATATGTTTGCAATTTGACCAATTATCAATTGATGAGAGTGTTTGTATGTTGAAGATAATTTTTCAAAAGGTACACCTTGTGCAGTCATATTTCAACACCCATATTAAAACTTCAACTACACATTTTCATATTTTCTGATATTAGGTGTATATTGTCATAATTCCATAATAAAGTGTACTACATTGCTCTTTACTGAAATAATCTTGTTGATATTTTTAATTACTATTGTTATTACTATGTATTTTAAATAATTAAAGAAGTAGGAATTAAATCAAATAATGGATCTTCTCCAAATAATAAAGAATCGCCTTCTATTTGGTTTCCATTATTACTTATTTATTAGATAGTATTATCATAATCATTATTAATATTAGTTTCTAAAAGTATTTTCTGAATTTAAATCCATGTAATTAACATCTAAAGTTGGAACATGTGATTCAAATGAAGATAGATTTTGGTAATGGAAATATTAGCCAACTTAAATGATTATTATTTAAAAAATTTTGGTTAGAAATGTAATTAATTTTTCAAAAAGAAATAAAATCATAATACTAAAATTATTAATTTATCTTTTTATCTTTTTCAGTGATTAACAATTCGCAGAATAAGAATATGAATAATATTAGCACAAAAATGCTTGAAAGACAGTAAATTAATAAAATAAAATTTTAATTAAATTAATTAATCAATCAATCAATCAATCAATTAAAAAAGTTCTCAAGTTGTTTTAATCTAATTTTTATTAAACTTTTTTATCAGAATAATAATTTAACACATTTGCATAATGGACACGGGTAATAATATATATAAATTGTTCTTTTTAGTGTATTTTGAAAAAAAATTTTTTTTGTTAATGTCGATCAAATCTTGATTTGCAGATTTTTTTTTTTTTGGGGGGTTAAAAAATGAAAGTGAAGAAACATTTCTTGGGAAAAAATCACAATAAAAAGGAATCTTTAAGTAAAGTCAATTTATAATTTAATTCTTGAAATAAACAAAATAAACAAAATTATATCATTTTTAACCTTTTTAATTAATTAATTAATTAATTAATTAATTAACTATTACTTTTAGAAATGGATTACTATTCAAATGACGGGGAAAAGGAGAAAGATAATGTTTCATATGATAATAGTCAGAGTGATAGTGTTGGAATAATGTATAGCAATAATGAAATAAGGAATCAAAAAGTGATAGACGAGGAGAAAAACGAGCAGGAAACTATAGTTTTTTCAGATAGAGAAATTGGAAAGAACATAGATGTTAATGGAGAATTAAAAGATTTAAAAGATGATTGCAAAGAACAACAACAACAACAACAAAATAAACATGTTCTGCTGTATAGTTTTAGTGATTTAAACGTTGCAAAAAAATATGAATTTCCAGAATCGTTTAAAAGTTTCATAAGTTTACACCCAATAACAAATTTTGACGACATAACTAATTTGTATTCTAATGAAGAAGAAAACGAAATTATTAATGATTATGACGACGACGACGACGACGACGATGACGACGACGAAGAAGAAGAAGAAGAAGAAGAAGATGATGATGATGATGATGATTACGATTATAATGACGATGATGATTATGATTATGATTACGATTATGATTATGATTATGAGATGGAAGAAGTAGTGAATGTGAAAGAATTAACAAGCATAATCAATCAAAATAATGAACACTCTGAGGATATGAAATTTCCTTGTAAACATTATGGATGTAGCAGGAGCTTTAAGAAAGAAAGTTCATTGAAACGACATCAGACCGTTACACACAAAGGAATAATCCTTGAAAACGGTGAAGGGATGGAAGGAGTATCTAATGTGATGAACGTTAATAATAATGAGGCAGATATGAAATTTCCTTGTCAACATTTTGGATGCAATAGGCGTTTCAGGAAAGAAAGTTCGTTGAAACGACACCAAACTGTTACACATAGAGGAATAATTATTCATGATGGAGGAAAGATGGAAGTGGTGACGAAAGAATTAGCAATCAATGAACATTCTGAAGATATGAAGTTTCCTTGTGAACATTCTGGATGCAATAGATGTTTCAGGAAATTAAGTTCATTGAAACGACATCAAACTGTTACACATAAAGGATTAATTATTAGTCGTAATGTTGATGGTGTGATGGAAGAAGTAGTGAAAGAATTAACAACTAGTGAAGTTAATGAACATGAAAATATGAAATTTCCTTGTAATTATCCTGGGTGCACTAGAAGTTTTAAGAAAGAAAGTTCATTGAAACGACATCAAACTGTTAGGCATAAAGGAATGAAGCCTTACAAGAGTAAAATACATCATTGTAATAAAAACTTTTCTAGTAAGCATGGGTCACTAAAACACGGATTTAAACATAAAAGTGACAAAATATATAAATGTAAAGTGTGCAATAAAGCTTTTCACTCAAAAACAAAATTACATTTGCATTCATCAAAACATTCAAGATATTCAAAACATTCAAAGCATTCAAAACATTCACATTCAATTACAGACAAAGTAGGACCTATTGTGCTAAAAGAAACACAAGATATTGAGAAGACTGTGAACAATAAATCAGAGACAACAGAAGCAGTAGTAGAGAATAATTTAGCAGCAGTAGTAAAAGTAAAAGATAGTAAAGAAAGAAAAGAAAGTTGGGAAAGAAAAAAGAAAAAAAGTAAGAGAGATCGTGATGACAATAAGAGGAATCACTCCAAGAAATTAGATCATAATTGTAGCCAAAAATCTCTGAAAAAACCATTTATATGTGATGTCAAAGGATGTAAGAAAAGTTTTTCTAACCCGCAAGGATTAAAATATCATTATAAAAGTACACATAGTGGAGAAAAACCTTTCGAGTGTGATTTCGAAGGATGTGACAGAAAATTCATTCAGGAAAGTTTTTTAAAGTCTCATCAAAGAATTCACACAGGAGAGAAACCTTTTATTTGTAATATTAACGGATGTAAGAAAAGCTTTGCTCATAGAAGTGGTTTAAAATATCACCAAAATAAAATTACTCACGAAAAACGTTTTGCTTGCAATGTCAAAGGATGTAAAAAATCTTATCTTAGAGAATCTCATTTCAAATATCATCAAAAACAACAACACGATATTTAATCATTATATATCTTTGGTTGGTGGTATAGCTTTAAATAAAATATATATATATATATTATTTTTCATTTCTGTGTGATATATTAATATTTGTATAGCAATCTTTAATATTCAAAAATAATTTTACGCAGTATTTGTTCTATTCGAAGCTTGTGTCCCCAAACTTTTTTTTGCAAATTCGCGTAAATTTTAACGTTTCACGATTTATTAAATGGTTTTTTTTTCGCGTTATCACCTCAGCAATCAATAATTAATTAATCAAGCAAGCAACGAGGAAAAATTCCTAAAATAAAATGGTTAGAACATTTATCGTACCAATCAATTCCTTAAAAGATGAGTATAAGGATAAATCAAAGTACTCGCCAAGAGTGGTAAAAGAAGAATCTGTCGATGATTTATTAAGTGTAAAAATAAAGGTGAAACTTGAACCAGCAGAACCAGTCCAAAATTTTGAGGAAGAAGGAATTGTTTTGTTTGAATTTCAGGGAGACTTTGATAATTATGGTCATGAAAATCCAATAAATGGTTTAGAAATTGGTCCAATGACATTCAATGAAGAAGTATGTTAATGTACATTTATTAATATTTTATTTTGTTTTATTTTTGGATACTAAAAAAATTTTTTTGGGTTAAAATTCTTAGGGAATACCACAGATTGTAATTGGAGATTGGAAATTAGAAGGACAAGTTGTTAAATTGGAAAACCCAATCATGGTTATGAAAAAAAGACATAACAACAAACTGATTGAAACATCATCATTGAGTAGCATTATAGATAAATTAGAAATAAACAGCCAACCAGGAAATAGTATTGCTGATGATAATAATTCACAGATTGCTTATTACGATATGATAAAGATCTTTAAAAAAATTTATTTGTTTAATAAAAAATTATTACCTATTGGACCAGACTCTGAGGAAATATATAAACAAACAGCAGAAATAATGAAAGGCTCTAAACTATCAAAATATCATGAAAATTAAAATTAAAAAAGTTTTAATTGTTCCTGAAAAATTTTTTATTGTAATGGATTAATGCTAAATAAATATGTAATAAATCAATGACAAGAATAATAATTATGTTGGTTTACAGAATAAAAAAAATTTGTTTGTCCCAAATTGTCACACAAATTCATATCTGATCAAAATAATTTCCTGAAGATAAAAAAAAATAGATTATGGTTATTAAAAAAATTATTTATAATAATAAAGTTAAATATTTTAATAATAAAAATGGAACCAAATTTTCTTGTAAGTGCTTTAATCAAATTAACATTAATTTAATTTTTTAAAATTAAACAAATTCATAAAACTAAAATCAAAGTTGCCATTTTTTTTTTTAGTTATTAACATCAAACCAACCCTATCAAACGTAATAAATTATTATCATAATTCTAATTATAAAAGGTTCGTTACATCTACCACACCTAAAAATATTAATGATAATGATAAAATAAAAAATTTATCCAAAGAAATTGATCAGAATCAACCAATAATAGATTCAGAATATAATAGTTTACAACAAGAATTAATAAGAAGATATACAAATGCTATGAATGAAAACATTGATAAGAAGAATGTATTAAATACTTTTGATGATGGTAAATTGAAATATTTTAATGTGCATGTGGGCATATCTATACTTGGATTTATATATTTATTATATATTATATATATATTATTTTATTAATTAATTAATAATTTATTTTTAGTACCAGATTTTGTTAAAACCACTGGATCCATCAAAGTAAATCTTGATGATCATAAAAGCACATTAACACCTTATGAATTAACACTTTCAACATTAATGTCAGCTAATCTTCATTTAGGACATTCAAGCACTCTATGGAATCCAATAAATTCATCATTTATTTATGGGATAAGACATGGTATAAACATCATAAATCTAGACTATACACTAATTTATTTACGTAGAGCATGTAAAATTGTTAAGGAAGTTAGTTATCGTGGTGGTATAATTATTTTTATGGGAACACGTGGCGATGAATTTTCAAAAGCGACAATCAAAGCAGCAAGATTTTGTCAACAATATCAAATCTCTAAACGTTGGATACCTGGCACCCTGACAAATACTCAACAAATTTTAGGAAAATTGATTCATAAAAAACCTGGGGATTTCATATCAAAGGTTTTTAAACCTGATTTGATAATTCTCTTGAATCCATTGGAAAATTCTATAGCATTGGAAGAGACAAAAGTCTGTAATATCCCAACAATTGGGATTGTAGATACTGATTTTGATCCTAGAAAAGTTACTTGGCCTATACCAGCTAATGATGATTCTGTTACTGGTATAGAATTGATTTCTGGTGTTTTAAGTTATGCTGCTGCCGAGGGTTTACTAAAAAGACAACAGATGCTTAAAGCGTTGAAACAGAAAATGGAAAAAAGCAAATTAAAACCTAATTTAAGAGCCAATTTATTAACAAATGTATTATAATGTTATTATTGCAATTTTTAATAAATGAATAAATAGTTTATTATTTTAGAAATGTTGTGTGCATGTATGCTGTTATTACCATATTAATATACATGTTTGTAAAAAAGAATGACTTCAAAATAAAGGTTACTCACCCCCACCTGGATTTGAACCAGGTTAACAGCCGAACGCGCTAGCCGATTGCACCATGGAGGCATAGGAACATATTAAACAATTTATTTATAAAAAACTTATTTAATTCATGATATGTGATAGAAGTAGATGATCAGCACATTTTTTAATAATAAAAAGTCTCATTTTTGTAAATCCCAAGTATGCCCAGTGTTGACGAATCTGTTAATTGATTGGTTGAAACAGTAGATCAGTCCTAAATTTGTATCATAAATTACACAAAAATTTTTTTTAACTGCAAAAATCCAGAGATACCCGATAGTGAAATTTGTTTTTTTTCAATTCATCGATTTTTACACATTTTTGCCCCAGTTCGACATATAATTAATTTTTAGTCAAAAAAATTTCAGGGGTTCAATAATAAATAAATTTCCGCGTGTAACCAAGGCAGATTTCTACAAATTTAGAAACTATCTGCAGAAAATTACTAATGTATGACGTTACACCCCACATCCCCTTGAGATATCGCAAAATTTTAAATTTTCAAATGAACTTCTTGAATCAAGAAATAAAGGCCATCATGAACAGACACAAAAAAAAGTATTATTTTTATATGTTAGTATTTAATATGTATCATCAATTTTTTAATAAAAAATATTTTAATAAAATGAAAAAATGCATTCAATTGATAGTTTATTCATTTAAAAAATTATTGGAGCAGAATTTTTACAATCATTTCTAAAAAGTTTGAAACCTATCAAAAATATGGTTGATAGTGATGATGATGGTGATTTTGATATGAAATCTCACAGATCACGAAATTTCAAATACAAACATTCCTAAATCATTTATCCAGATCAACCGTCTAATCAACCAAAACCTGAATTAGTAAATTCTTATAATGAGCCCAATATCTATTCTAAAAAGAATGATTTACATGATGATGATAAAGAATTAGATGGATCAATTAACATTAAATCTTGTAACAGATTTATTAGAGAGCTTCAAAGCCAAGAAAGTTAACCTGGTCCGGCAGAACTATTATTGGAAAGTCAGGAGTTGGTGTGACTCCATTAGACAAAGAAGAGGAGGAGGTAGAAGATAATGATGATGTGAAGAAAGTAAAGAATAAATAAATAAATATTTACATATTTTAATTTTCATTTTATTTTTATTAGAAAATATTTTATTGAATTAATTCCAATATATAGTTTGCATTTTTTGAAAAATTATTTTTGTTATTTGAAGATTTAGTAAAATAATCGGGAAAATCTATATCGTCTAATAGAACAACAGATGAATCATTTGATGATTTTTCTTTGTAATGATAAATGATTTTTGAATGGTCTTTCACAATACCATGCAGCAACAACCAAGTAGCATCAGGACTTTTAAATGACAACTCTATAAATAAATCTTTTGCCAATTCTTGTATTTCTTCATGAAACTGATCACTTAGAAA